GCCCCAAAGCAAATTTGTTTCGGTCAACTAGGTCAACTACCATTATTATATAATCACTAAACTGGTATTTTAGTACCATAGAATGCCATACATGACTGAAATATAGGCCTGCACTTCGTTAACTATTCCACATTGTTATTCATTTGAAAACATCAAACTGTTTGTTTTTTTAAGAATGCGAACCTGGATTTTTTGGTGAAAACTGTGAATTTGAATGCACTAAGCCATGTATATGCCACAGGTTGACGGGACAATGCTTAAAAGATTGGTGTGATTCTAATTGGCTTGAACCTAATTGCAAAATCGGTGAGCAATTTAAGAGATAATATATAGTAAGCGAATAACCGAATATCGAATAGGTATTGATGTTTTTTTTAATTCATAATAAAACAAAAATAATAGGTGATTTGATGTTTGAATTAAGACAAAATAAGCAAAGAAAATGTATTTTTGATAATAGGTGTACATATTATACATTTATTTATAGGGATCATTAATACCACATTTTCACCTGCAAATGACGGTCACGTGACAGATGTTTACTGTACAGTGTATCATGACGGTGCACATATGCTTAACACCATTGTTATGGTAACAACACATGACGTTAACGAAAACGTAACAATGGTGTTACAGCAAACACAAAATGAAAATATTACATCATATCACTGTTTAGTGGTGTCTGATATCGATGCGACATACACCTGTATAACTTTGCATGCAGGTGAAACCGCCGCACAGAGGATAATTGTTCCTAAAATATTTCGTAAGTGACATTATGATAATTAAAAATTAATATTGTATTATTCTGTGGATTTTTAAGTACATTATTTCCTAGTCATCACCTATTTATATTTTATATTTTTAAACACTAATAAATGCGTTAATTTATATGAATTAAAATGACAGTGAATATTTGAGTTATAGACCTAATTATGATACTAATGATTTGCATTAATTTCCGGAAAGGTTTGCCTACATACCAAGGGAATCTGCATATTGATGTTCCTACAAGTTCTACTATAAGTTTTAACTGGACTGCATGGGACAACACTACAAGTGATGAAGATGGGCCTGTTATTGGATACATTCTTCACTACAGACTTAGTAGTAGCAATACAGATGATTGGAAAAAAAGTCTATTTTACGACACATTGTCAGGGATTGCTTCTGGGTTGGTGTGGGATACAAATTACACTTTTGCTTTGTCAGCCGTGAGACCCGGCGAAGGCGGTGAAGGCCCAATTGGAATGCAGAGAATCAGCGTCAAAACTCTCTGCGGAAGTAAGCAACGAACATTACAAGTTCCCTTATTGAGTTGAGCAACCAGATGTTGATTATATACGTGCGCCTGTAAAGTTTTCTTGAAACTTACCCTCGAGCATGAAGAAAAAAGAATGGAATCGCCCCCCTTGCACGAATTCTGCATTTATGAATAAAAAAATAAATTTAAAAAATGTAAAAAAAAAAAATAAAAAAATAAAAAATAGAGAAAACAAACAAAACTGTATTCAAATTTTAATCTGAAAGTACCATTTCCGGCCATCTAGAGGTGCTATAATCATTTTTTTTTTCTTACCGCAGCCGCTACCGTTGTGGGCTGAGGTGGGTGGACACTCCATTTGCATCTATTTTGATTCTTGGACCTGCCACAGTTGGATTATCATTTCCGGGATACTATAGAAGGGTCATTTTTATCCATCGGGGGAAAAGTGAAGGTTTCGTCGGGGAGTACCTATATCAAGGATTAGCCCTGATAATTAATTCGTTTGTTCGAAAATCAGTGGCGGATTCATGGGTGGGGGCCTAAATTGTTCAATTTTTTTTTCATGGAGATTGTATTCAAATTTTAAGTCTGAAAGTGCATTTTCAGGCCATCTAGAGGTGCCATAATCACAAATTTTCTCGCCTCAGCCCAAACCATGGTGGGGCTGAGGCGGTATAGATCTACAATCTGCGAAAATACCCAGTGGCGGATTCAAGAAGACACGGGTTCCCTTAATTTTTTTTTTTTTTTAATGGAGATATAAAGAAATTATATTCAAATGTAAGTGCAATTTCTGACCATCTAGAGGTACCATAATCACAAATTTTCTAACCTCAGCCCCAATCATGGTGGGGCTGAGGCGGTATAGATCTTCCATCTGCGAAAGTACCTGTGGCGGATTCTAGGGGGCCCGGGCTCCCTTATATGGTTTATTATTACTTTTTTTTTTAATAGAGATACAAAGAAAATTATATTGAAATGTTATGCCTGTAAGTGCAATTTCGGGCCATCTAGAGGTGCCATAATCACAAATTTTCTTACCTCAGCCCCAACCATGGTGAGGTGAGGTACATCCTCCATCTGTGAAAATACCCTCCTCTCTTTTAAATTCCTAAATCCGCCACTGAAAATTACAAAAATTATGAAGTCATATTACAGTAGCTTGATGCCTATAAAATAACTAATACAATTCACCAAACTTCGTCAAATATCGGTAGCTTCCAGCGGGAGAAGCTACCCAAACGGGGACCCTTGGCTCCCCCATGGTCCCCAGCCTAGATGCTCGCTTCGCTCACATACTGGTTGTAAAGTTCCCCAACCCCCACTTTCAAAAACGTTCCGCCGCCGTTGTATGCAATTATACTTGATATAACCATGCTAAGGAAATCCGTTTTCATCAAGTTTTTCATTAATTTATTATTGCAGCATATATCATTATTCTATTTTGTATGTACAGCGCATTGTGCTATATTAGAAATAACTATTATTATTATTACTATTGTTATACCAAAAATGTAGATAGTCGAAATTGGATAGGCCTAAGCAAGCCATAAATTCTTATAGAATCAAACTTAGAAATTAATCCGATAATATTCTGTTTATAATATAGTAAAATTCAGGGCCTCGTGACCATTTTACGGGAGCCATGGTTTCTCTGCTGACTTGGCATCACTCGGGCATAAAAAAAAAATCGAGCGGGGGTACTCACTTGTTTCGTTCTGCAACTATAGTATCACTGGGCAGCTCAGTGTTTCTCTCGGCATAGCCCTGTCAATTATTCGGTCCACCCACTGTTTATTGATGATTGATGGGTTCTTAATGAGAAGTTTAATTCGTTGTATGCTAGGTAGTTGGCTCGTTTAATGTGCTGAAGTAGTGAATATTTTGTCTAGTGGCAATCTTGTAGGTGACTTGATGAAATGATAGTGACAGTAGCAATAGGAGTGATGACGAAACAAGTGAGGAATCGTCCTCTTATGACGAGTATGATGAAGCATAAACGTAATTGTGATTTATTGAAGTTTGCAAAAGTTTATCAAACAAAGGCTTATAGTACAATTTTAAAAAATGGTACTATTCATATCTATAGATTTCAATATTTTGGCATTTTGTAAGCCAAAATGTGCACATATTAATGGCACACATATTGAAAATGAGCATGGTTGTCACCCTAGCTTTTTAAAACTAGGTTTATTGGATTCAACTCAAACTACCGTTTTTGATCCAAGAGAAATGCAATTATATTCCAAAATACTTGCTTTTCTAAGATCTTTGTCTTTCATTTAATTTCTTTAGGCGCGAGCACCAAGGATATGCCAGTCAGCGAACTTAATCACTATCCTACGTGGTACAAAACAAGAGTATAACAATAGTAATAATAATAGTTACAACAGGGGTATGAATGGACCAGTACACCGGGATAACCCCCTTCTCTTCTCGAAGGATGTAGTAGGTTCTTTCAAGTGCACACGAGCCAAATGCGTACACTTGGCCTATGTTTTAAAGTCCTTATCCGAAAATACTTGTTCCACCACCGGAACCATTGCGAATGAGCCGTTCGAATCAGCGCCGATATTATAGCTGAAGGTTACATTTCCCATGACTTAACTGCTCCGCCAATCTCATTCTCGAGGTACCCCCCCCCCCCACCGCCCCCGCTCAATGTTATTTTTATACCTTATGGATGCTAAATCAGCACTGAATCCTTGCAGGGGCCCTGATTGTTACTATACTATGTAGGCCTGTACTACTATT